CCACTCCCCCCCCCCCTTTTTTTTTAAATTTATTGTACAGATGAGGTCTTACCAGGTTGCCCAGGCTAGTCTTGAACTTGCGGACTCGGGCAATCCACTTGCCTCAGTCTCCCAAAGTGCTGGGATTACAGACTGAGCCACCAAGCCCGCTCTTTTTTTTTTTTTTTTTGTCGAGACAGTGTCTTGTTATGTTGCCCAGGCTGGTCTTGAGCTCCTGGCCTCAAGCAATCCTCCCACCTTGGCCTCCTAAAGTGCTGGAATTGTAGACATGAGCCATCACATCCAGCTGTCTGCAGAGTTTTATATGCATTTGTATACTGGAAATTAAGATTATTTGAAATCTTCATCTTGTTTTTGGTTTACTATTTATTACTTAAGGGAAGAAAGCTAAAATCTCCCGTGATAATTATCATCCTGATTTATCCTCAAATGCCCACAGTTGTTACCAGCACTCCAGTTGGATGCATGGAGTCCTGTTACTTTTATCATGCCATTGGACTGTTATTTTATCAACAGCCCCTTTCATGCCTGGAAATATTAATTTTTTAAACCTATCTCAAAGAGCTAAGAATTTAATTAGAAGAGACAAAACTAACATACAGGCAACCAGTAGAGGAAATTCAGACCCAGCACAGTATATATCTGTGCAGTGGGACTCAGTGGGCCTTGGCTTGCTGAAACAGCCACGAGGCCAGGGAGTACATCCCACACTGGAGACAATCGAGTGTGGCCACAGAAACAGGGCGGTGAACAAAGAGCGAGTACACAGGACAGGACAGGCCCACATCACAAACGGCCCTGCAGAGCAGGTTGGAGGGGAGGCCATGGAGGTCAGGCCAGGTCTGACCAGTGAAACTAATGCCAGAGGAGGGCTATAGGGGAATGAGAAGAGAGTGCTACATGGTGATGCTGAGCCCAAAGAATGAAAATCAGTCTGAATCTGAGTTGCTTAATGATTTAAGAATCAGGACACACACCTGCAAAGCATTCCAAAACAGTCTAAACTCACTGGGAGGATCCTCTCATTCAAACAGACAAGGAAATGCAATTATAGATCTCATCACAGTGATCAGGCTTGTCAGGTTCACTTCTAACACAGACAAATTTATTTTTATTTTTGTTTTATCTATTCATTTACTTTTTAAAGAGACGGGGTCTTGCTATGCTGCCCAGGCTGGACTTGAACTCCTGCATTCAATCAATCCTTCCACCTCAGTTTCTGGAGTAGCTAGGACAAAAGGCATGCACACTGTGCATAGCCATGAACTTATTAATACCGGGCTGGACCAATTCAATCCCATCTTCTTGAGCCCAGTCTCCTGCTTTTTGTTTGTTTGTTTGTTTTGTTTTGTTTTGTTTTGAGTTGGAGTCTCACTCTGTCACCCAGACTGGAGTGCAGTGGCCACTCCCAGTCACCGCAGCCTCGACCTGCTGGGCTCTGGCGATCCTTCCGCCTCAGTCTTCCAAGTAGCTAGAACTTCAGGCGTGCGCTACCACACCTGGCTAATTTTTTGATTTATTGTAGAGATGAGGTCTCGCCAAGTTGCCCAGGTGGGTCTCGAACCCACGGGCTCAGGCAATCCACTCACCTCAGTCTCCCAAGGCAGGGGATTACAGGCTGAGCCACCAAGCCCGGGAGCCTCCTGCTTTTTAAAGCTCTGACAGGAGCAAAACTTGCAAGTAGTCCTGGACCTGCGGGGCCCTGTCCACCCTTGAGGACAGTTACTGTGTCACCCACTGCATGGCAGTAGTCACTTGTGTGGCACCTCTCTGTGACCTCAAGCACAGGAGAAAGAGAGGCAAACTATACTGTCACAAGCTACACCCTCAGGAGTCACCACAGGACAGCTGTGCTCACCTGTTCTCAGGCCTACGATAATCCAGCCGGCAAGTTCCACTGGTGAGACTGAACAGGGGGTGAAACGCACACTCCATGCTGTACAGCGCTCTCTCTGTGGGCACAAACATCAGGGGAGAGCATCATGGCCACAAGCAGCAACTGTGGCCCCTCTTCTAATGACTTGCAACAAGGAAAAGTCTGGAAGGAAGGAGGTCACGAAACTAGGATCCTGGGCACTGAGAGGACAGATGTAATCTCCTGGGTATCCCTATGCCATACTAAGTTTACTTCAACCACAGAACCCATGAGATTGAGACAGAAACAGCTTAAATACCATGAGGCACAACTGATGTCATTTAAAGCAAACACACGTCCACACAAAAGCTGCACGTACACGTTCACAGCAGCACTATTCACAATAGACAAAAAAGTAGAAACAGCCCATATGTCCATCAAGTGATGATGGATACATAAAATGTGATCTATCCCTACAATGGAACATTATTCAACTATAAAAAGGAATGAAGTTCTGACACAGGCTATAATGAGGATGAACCTTGGAAACACATGGCAAATAAAAGTCAGACACAAAAGACTATATATAGTGTGAAATTTACATGAAATTTCCAGAACAGGCAAATCCAGAGAGACAGAAAGTGGAACAGTGGTTCCAGGGGCTGGAGAAGACAGTAATGGGGTGGAAGTTCTTTTGTGGGCAATGAAAATGATTTAAAATTAATCATGGTGATGGTTATACAACTCTGGCATATACTAAAAACCAACCAACTGTATGCTTTAAATGGTTAAGTTTTATGGTATATAAACTATATTTCAATAAAGCTGTTATTTAACTCTTTGCACTTAGACGTCTTCACTTAAGGGTCATTGGAAAATGTAGCAAACCACTTGTATGTTCCCTCTCAGGGGACATAAAGAGATTGCTGATGATTATACAGGACACATTTATACAAGCACAAATTTTTCAAAAACATAAGTTGCCCTGAAGTTTTCCATTCAAACTGCAAAAAAAGCAAATAAAGAGATGAAATATATACTGAGATATGACTGATCAGTTGCAATGTGGTTTCCAGGAACACAAACACAAGTGCATCCTTCCACATTTTCTTTAAACAACAGAATGGATAGCAAATTACATATTATTAATGTGGGAGGAAGAAAACAAGACTGCTCAGACAGAGAAACACCAGGTAGAATACATCAAACAAATTACAAATGCACAACATGTATCAATGAACCTACAATGCATGTCAACAACTGTTCCACACATTACTATAAAAGATAAAAATTTTAGGTTTTTTTGTCATAAATAAGTTCCTTAATATCCAAAATTCTATTATAAGTCAAATATCATTACAATGAAATAATTGGTTCCAATGCTTTACCATTTAATAGGAAGTGATTCATTTTTCATTATTTTGTAAAAAAGTGCAATCAAGTTGCTGGTAGGTGACCTGTGAGATGTCTCCGAGTACAGAGAGTTAAAAACATTCTGGAAACCCACCACTGTCATCTCATAGAATAGCATCTGAGCCTGTTAGCCTGAGTTGCTCCCACAAGTGATGGGGCGGTGGGCTCTGTCTTACCTATGAGGTCTCGTGCCATCTCCTGATCCTCTTGGAACCGGCAGGCATCACTGAGCTGCAGGAGTGAGTCAACGTGATAGGGACTTGTCTGGAGCAGAACCTGCCAGAGGAAAGGACAGCCCTGGAGGAAAGCTGTAGGCAAAGAGCCCTCTCTGGGACAGGTGCCCAGAAAGGCACCAGGCCCTCAGGTATGCCTTTCTTTAGGCATTTAAATTGGGTGAGAGTCACAATCTCCTCCCAGGTCCAAATACGCTAGTTATCACTGCTAAGCTGAACCACTGACCTGATTTAAGGTGGGAAATTGGAACCTGACACACCCAGGCTGAGTGCATCTCAACTCTCCCCCCCAAGGCTCAAGAAAGAGGCATGGAAACAAACAGCCTCTTTCTCCATACTGGACAACAACTGTGAGCTTCGCCTAAAATTATAGCCCTGAGCAAAGCATGCATGGGGGAGGGTAACCAGAGATTGTGGAGGATGAACTCCTTTGCGTCCTGAGGATGAGGACCCCAGGTGCAGCCTGGACACTGCACTCAGGTGTTTTTAAGGAAAGGATGCCATCAGCGACATGGGGCAGGGCAGGCTCCTGGAAGCAGGAATCTGAGTATCCCTGTGCTGTGCCAGCAGTAAGCAAAGGCACAACAAGAAGGCACCAGTGTTCTGGGTGTGTTCATACTCCCTGAGAAGGAGATGCAAGCACAGCATTCCAGGCCCTTCTTTGAGTGTGGGTGGGCTCCACTTTACTTAGAGCCGACCTGGTCATGGGCCCGACCGCTCTGCACAAATAGGCATCCCTCCTTGGGAAGAGCTACTGCCAGGCCCTCAGCACACCGCCCCAGAGGAACGCAAGATTGAGCGCAGGGGTAGCTACACCGTCCCTGCTGGTCAGGCACTGCAGAACACGCACCACGATGTTGTTTGGCTCCATGGACTCCACAGCCACCAGGAACTTGTGCTGCGCCTGCTGGTATTCCTCATTATGCTCAAACGCGAAGAAGGAGAGGCCTTTTTTGGATTCCAGCAGCCGCATGGACAGACCTGGGAGGTGGAGGTGAGAGTGCTCAAGGGAGGGTGTGCTGGGAGCAGGGCCCTCGGATGCCTCCACAGGGCACAGCAGCTCCCAGCACAGCCACCTGCACTGCCCTCCTGGCAACACAACTGGACATGCATGTTGTATGCACGCCCGCCACCCAGGCTACCCAGGCTGGGGCTGGGCTGCCTCCAGGCCACAAGCTTAAGAGCACTTACCCAGAATGCCTGCCATTTGGTCTACCCCAGGAGACAGCATCCTGTCTACTTTTGTTTCCTATAAAGTTCTGTTTCCCCACAGAACTCGGGTACTAGCTCAAAGTGTGGGATGGAGCATGAAATGTCCTAGGACAGCAACCTCACTGGCCTGGAGGACCATCAGGGACAAGGACACCCACAGCCCACAAGGAGACTGGATCTGGCCGAGCCAAACACTGTATCCAAATCAAGTCTCATTAGGATAAGTATCGGGGTGGCCATGAAGGGGCAGGAGTGGAGATGGTGCAGTTTGCGACAGCGATTTATAACCCATTGTCAGATGCCCTTTCTCTCTGCTCCTTGGGTCCAACTTTGGGGCCCTTTTGTATGGGCCCTAGTTTCTTCTGATCTTCTGATAAACCTGAAAAGCTCAGTCTCCCAGGACATCCATGGACTATGTCCCCCAGAGCTACACCTTCTTGATGGCCTTGTCCAAGGCCTGAGCCCTGAAGGACCAAGGGAGCCCCAGCTCACCTGTCCTCAGGTGCTTCTGCTAGAAAGATACAAGGTCTGGGGGTTCAAAAGACACCCACAAGGCACCAGGGTTTACCCTCCAAAAGCAGAATCCTCAAGTTCCTAGGTATGTCCTCCCCAAGAGTCCATGGGGAATCTTCCATAACCTCCACAGACACAGAAGAGGCAGAGGGCATGGAGGGCTGTGGCAGCACTGACAGCAGCAGGCAACCCCCCCACAGTTACCATCAACACATGCACACAGCTCTCTTCCCACAGTGGGCACCCCTGAGGGGCCCCACAGGCCAGTCACTATATTGTTGAGGTCGGTATGGATGGCTGCAGATGCTACTCTACACTGTGCAGCCAAGCACCCTGAAAAAAACTGCACTGACAGCCTAGGAAACACAAGGAGGTGTCTGGGAGGACTCTCTTTCAGAGGCACTGGGCCTGCCCTCTAGCTCCAGGGCCTCCAGCTCTTAACTTGGTAAGAAACAAAACCACATACTGCACACAGCTGTACACAAAAGGGAGGCTTGACCCAGGGATGCTGATACCACCCACGTCCAGTGTCAGCCACTGGTCGACCCCTGCAACTACAGACCCTCACCTGGTTTGCTGTACCGGGGCCAGGTGCTCTTGGGGGTTGTCAGCCACGTACACTTGGGGTATACACGCTGTCTCTGTCGTGGTCTGGGGAGAATGGGATACAGGCACAACTTTAGCTTCTTGGCTGCCTAATCTTTGCAGCAACTGTCGAAGCAACACCAAGGGCCAAGGAGGGAATGTAAGGCAGGGTGGAGACTAACAAAGACAGATGCAAACAAGTGCCGGCAACCGCTGCCAGACAGGATGGAGATGGGAGTGCTAGCTCATCAAATCATCGAAAAATAGAAAAGAGAAACTCAACCAACCAGTCCAGCACAAGGGCAGGAAGGCAAAAAGGAAACCAAAATGAAGACCTAAAACAAAGGAGACAAGAACAAGATAGAACCTGCCAGTGTTTCCAAAGAAATTTGGCTTCCCATGGGGGTCTGGCTAAACAAAAAGGGACACTTGGCTGTGGTTGAGTGCAGGAGACAAAAGTGGACCTTGGATGGAGGAGGGTATTTCTCTCTCTTCTCTGAGACCCCACCAATACAATGACAAGGTCTCAAAAAGGAAAAAATGCCAGGCTCAGTGGCTCAGGCTGTAATCCTGTGCCTTTGGGAGGCTGAGGTGAGTGGATTGCCTGAGCCCGCGGGTTCAAGACCCGCCTGGGCAGCGAGACCTCATCTCTACAATAAATCAAAAAATCAGCCGGGTGTGGTAGCGGGCGCCTGTAATTCCGGCTATTTGGAAGGCTGAGGCGGAAGGATCGCCGGGGCCCAGCAGGTGGAGGCTGCGGTGGCCGGGAGCAGCCACTGCACTCCAGTCTGGGCGACAGAGTGAGACTCCAACTCAAAAAAAAAAAAGGAAAATATGATAACAATAACAAAAAGCACTGGAAGATTTTATTGTACAAAAACTTCAACAGATTTCTGAAAGAAACAAGCCAGGCACTGAGAGTATGGAGGGCTGGCCTTGGCATGGGCTGTAGGCAGGAGAAGGGACTAGGACCACCTTCCTTCCCACTCCCAGGCAGACTCTCTGAGCTCTGTTATCTGGAGGGTTTCTGTCACAGGTACCAGACCCACCCCGAGGTGGTGTCTAAGCCAGGCAGGGAGTGTTTGTCACATCAGGGATGGTTTGTTTCTAAAGCTGAGTAACGGCATGTTGAGTGCTGGTATTATTCTCTTTACCTTCTTAATAATCTAAACAATTTCATTAAAAGAAACAAACAAAAAAAGAATAAATAAGAAGCTAGACTGTTAGGAACAGGATAAAAAAGGGTGTTTCTTCTCCCAACAAGAAAGTCAAAAACTATAGGAAAAAAGCCAGGGCAACCCCCTCGGGTCCCCTCCCACAGTGGGAACTTTTCTGTCCTCTCAATAAATCCTGCTTGAAAAAACAAAACAAAACAAACAAAAAAACCAAACAAACAACTGTAAAAGAAAAGCATGGTCAAGATCTGAAGGAAACTAAAATGTTCCACAATTATGGGTAATTGTTAGGGTGTAAAAAGGAGAATTAATTGGCTACTCAGAACCATCCTACATCTATGGAATCCTGTGAACTGTCATACCTGTAAGGAAGCCCCTGGAATAGACTGTACAGATCCTGGGAGGGGAAATGGGACAGAAGATGGGAGGAACATGTGAAGGCTGGCAGTCCCACAGAGAGACAGAAATGGTGCCGATGAGAAGGGAGGGGGAGAGGGCTGACCCATCTGTGATAGTTCGAAAGTCAAGGACCAGAGAAAGCACAGTGTACAAGTTACCTGGAGACTGTGAAATCACCACCAGGAGAGACAAAACAAGCCTGCCCTTGGAGGAGCAGAGTAAGGACGGCGGAGAATGAATAAGAAGGGAACCATGGCTTCTCAGCAAAAGTCTTTTGGAAGGATTTAAATGTTTAAAGAAATAAACATACTGCAATATATAACATTATAAAAATAGTAAATGTAATTACTATTAGTTACTATTAATAACTATAATTTTCAGAAATAAGACCAGGCAAAAATGTAAACAAATGGCAAGCAGATGTAAACAAAACCAAGTCAAGTAAAGAGGTAAAATATTCAGCCCAGGGCAATACAGGTGACAAGGAGAACACCTTAAATTATAAATATTTTTCACTAATGTTACCAAAAAAATACAAAGTCAGAAATCCCTGTATCCTGACCAACTTAACACCAAAAATGTAAAGTAAAATATAAAACAGAAACTGCTAAAAACACAAGGAAAGCTGGGCTTGGTGGCTCAGCCTGTAATCCTGCGCCTTTGGGAGGCTGAGGTGAGTGGATTGCCTGAGCCCGCAGGTTCAAGACCCGCCTGGGCATCGAGACCTCATCTCTACAATAAATCAAAAATTAGCCGGGCATGATAGCACATGCCTGTAGTTCCAGCTACTTGGAAGGCTGAGGCGGAAGGATCGCCAGAGCCCAGCAGGTGGAGGCTGCGGTGGCCAGGAGTGGCCACTGCACTCCAGTCTGGGCGACAGAGTGACACTCCAACTCAAAAAAAAAAAAAAAACCACAAGGAAATTAGGCCGGGTGCAGTGGCTCACACCTACAATCCCAGCACTTTAGGAAGCCAAGGTGAGAGGATTGCCCAAGCCCATGGGTTCAAGACAAGTCTGGGCAACTTGATGAAACCTCATCTATACAATTAATCAAAAAACTAGCTGGATATGATGGCTCATATCTGTAGTTCCAGTTACTTGGAAGGTTGAGGCAGAAGGATTGCCTGAGCCCAGCAGGTCGGGGCTGCTGTGGCCTTGAGTGTGCCACTGCACTCCAGTCTGGGAGACAGAGTGACACTCCAACTCAAAAAAAAAAAAAAAACAACCAAGGAAAGTAGGAAAGTGTGAGCAAATAGTATATGAAAACATCCTCAACTCATAATTAAAAGTCAAAACATCAAGACTATTTTCTGTCTATACATGATGATAGATTTTAAAATCTACTATACCTCTACCTACTGTGGCTGAGGGGATAGACAGTCACCTGGGTGTGAGCTGTACAGCTCTTTTGGAGGGCAACTAAGCAATATGTATGTAACTTGAAACGGGAATATCTATTTTTGGGCAATTTCATAGAAATGCCCACACAGACTCAAGAGAACTGCAGCCAACACCCGGACACAAGCTAACATCAGGGTAAGAAAACAGCTCTGGTCTATCAAGGTGTAGAAACAATGCTTAGAAACCAGATATACAAAACCAGGGCATGTTATAGACCAGCAGCTCTCTCCACAGTCAAATAAAAAAGGATGTGTTGCTGGGCTCGGTGGCTCAGCCTGTAATCCCGCGCCTTTGGGAGGCTGAGGTGAGTGGATTGCCTGAGCCCACGGGTTCAAGACCCGCCTGGGCAGCGAGACCTCATCTCTACAACAAATCAAAAGAATTAACTGGGCATGTTGGCGTGTGCCTATGTAGTTCCAGCTACTTGAAAGCCACTGTACTCCCACCTGGGTGATGGACTGAGACTCCAACTCAAAAAAAAAAAAAGATGTGTTTATATGTGCAGAAAGGCCCTAAGAAGATGCAGCAAACTGTTTTTTTGTTTGTTTTTTGAGTCAGAGTCTTCAATCTGTCACCCAGGTGGGAGTACAGTGGCTTTCAAGTAGCTGGAACTACATAGGCACACGCCAACATGCCCAGTTAATTCTTTTGATTTGTTGTAGAGATGAGGTCTCACCAAGTTACTCAGGCTGGTTTCAAACATCTGGACTTAGGCAATTCTCTTGCCTCCACCTCCCAAAGTCCTGGGATTACAGGTGTGAGCCACTGTGCCCAGCAGCAAACTATTTTTAATAGTTCTCTTTGGTGGGGGGAGGGTATGGAGTCAAAGGGGGAGTTTCTAAATTGCTTGAGTTTTTTTTAAAAATAAGAAGCATTTAGTGTGATAGTCAGAAGTACTTAAAAAGATAAAGTTTTCTGGACACTTAAGTAGAGTCCAGGAGTAGAACACCCATGCTGTCTACAGAAGGTCCCAGAAACAGCCTCTCATGTTCTTTTTCCTGTGAGGAGCCCTACCCTCTACAGTTAGTTTTATTTGAGCTAAGAAGCAAAAATGGATCTGGCTAAAAGTCCGGGGGTAGAAGCTCAAAATTTAACAGCATTTACAGCCTTTCTAAAAATATACACATATTAGAGAAGGCAGTGTGAGGGATGAGTTCAACCACTCCACGTATCTCAACAACACAAGGTCATACACAAATCATCTCCTTGGAGCCCCTTTCTGATCTTAATTCTACGGGTTTCATTTGTCCACTGTGGCTTTAAATATTCTCCCCCAAGAGCTTTTAGCTAACTTCAAGAACACTTCCTTCCTTCAAGAGCCTCAAAACAAATACAATAGCTGTGAGAATGAAGCTTAATATGAACCTTACCTTTGTTCCCCCAGGACTGCTCGAGCACCAAAATACCTTTTCAGTTCTGTGTCTGGATTCAAATGCCTAGAGAATTGAAAATTTTAGAAATAAAAATGAAATTGTTTTCTACAGTGATTCTGGAAATTTTAGAAATCCACGTAATAATCCAGGAGGTTATCTTTGGAACAGTGATTTTAGCTTGAAAGGCAACTTCCGGGCTGACTTTCACCACACCATCTGCAGGTGAGGCCTAACCAGTACTGTCCCTGCCGATGCTAAAGGGACACAGCTGGTCACCACATCCTGGGTGTGTACTTCAGTCACTACTGCATAAATAAAGGCACCTGGGGGTGGGCCTCCACATGTGTATGGTAAACATCTGTTTTCAAGACTGAGTCAGGATGGCACATACACCCTGAAATTAAATCACTAACTGACTCCAGGTGGCATTTTTTTCTTTTTTTTTGAGTTGGAGTCTCTGTTGCCCATGCTGGAGTGCAGTGGCATGCTCACAGCCTCCGCAGCCTCAACCTGCTGGGCTCAGGCAATCCTTCCACCTCAGCCTTCCAAATAGCTAGAACTACAGGCACGCACTACCACGCCTGGCTAATTTTTTCATTTATTGTAGAGACAAGGTCCCACCAAGTTGCCCAGGCTGGTCTCGAACCCCTGAGCTCAGGCAATCCTCTTGCCTCAGCCTCCCAAAGTGCTGGGATTACAGGTTTGAGCCACTGCACCCGGTCATTTGTTGTTTTTTTCAAAGCTGGCAACAATCTTTGAAGTAGGGGCAGGGATTCATTTAGCATCTATAAGACCAAGAGATGGACAATTATTCAAGGATCACATGGTACTTTTACATGGTTTAAGATGGAACTTTCTGGCCAGGCACAGTGGCTCACACCTGTAATCCTAGCACTTTGGGAGGCCAAGGCGAGAGAGAGTACTACCTGAGCCCAAGAGTTTGAGACCAGTAAGGGCAACATGGAGAGATCTCAATCTACAAAAAAATTGAAAAATTAGCCAGGCATGGTTGCACATGCATACAGTCCCAGCCACTCAGGAGGCTGAAGTGGAAGCATCACCTGACCTCAGGAGGTTGAGGCTATGGTGAGCTGTGATCATGTCACCGTACTCTAACTTGGGGAACAGAGAGAGACTACGATTCAAAAGAAGAAAAAAAAAAGGAAAGAACTTTTTAGGATGTATAAAGTAAAGCTAAAAGTCCTCTGAAATATGGATGAATTTTCTTTTTCTTTCTCCTCGTTTTAATTTCCTAAATGTTTAGTAATAAACTCATATTCTTTTTAAATAAACAGCACATTTTCTTCTTTTTTTAATATAACTTTTCCTTCCATGGAGACTCTGTGGTAACAGCCACAGAGGAGGGTGGGGCCATACCTGTGCTCCACATACAGAACATGCTTCTTGGAGCTCAGTGGAGTGGGGCCTGGGCGGGTTAACCCACTGCTGTCCTCAATTCTCTCTAAGATGCGATCAATATCTTCCAATCCATTTTCCTAAAAGTCCCCAAAAAACACCTATTAATCACCACACTGACTTGATTTTCAATTTATAATAATCAATAACAAAATAATTTATTTTAAAAGAGAATTATCAAATTGTACTTACTTCATAAAAGAGTATAATTCAAATACTATGTACCACATATATATTTAGAAAAAAGAAAAAAACATTTCATAAGAAGTGGCTCAGAATAGATAGAACCACAGAACCAGAAGGACCCAGAAATAAATGGGTTGAAAGACCACACTCCATGTCATACAGGTGAGCTCACCTCCTCAGGTAAACAGACTTGGGTCTTGTGGCTCCAATTAAGCAGTAACAAAAAGCTACAGCCTCTTCTCAGGAAAATCAGACGACAAGGATCAGGGCAACAATGAAAATGTATTTTCGATGACAGACTAGCTCCTGTGTGATGTCTATGCCCACCACCCAGTTAGTCCATTATCACCAGACAAATATCAAACAGCAGGCATCACACGGGCCCCAGGAGGCCGCATACTAGAAGGGATTCTCTCATCAGAACACAATTTCTGATGGGGCTTGAAAACGGAAACCTCTCACCCACCAAGGAATGAAATTAATAAATATAGAAGCAAAATCTGGTAATTTTTTCCTTTTCTTTTTCCTTGACTTATTAGTTACACTTCTGATGGGAAGGAACAAAAATATCAAAAATAAGTTTCTTACAACATCACCTTGAGAAACACAGACTTAAAGGAACAGGAGTTTGAGATCAGCCTGAGCAACATAGCAAGACCATGCCTCTACAAAAAAATTAAAAAACTGACCAGGCATGGTGGTGTGTGCCTGTAGTCCCAGATCCTTGGGAGGCTGAGGCAAAGGGATCAACTGACCCTAGGAGGTGGAGGCTGCAGTGAGCCGCGATAGTGCCACTGCACACTCTAGCTTGGGTGACAGAGTGAGATCCTGACTCAAAAAATAGGAACAGAGAGGGATCTGATTCACATACCGAAGCTTCTCCTGTACTATTTTTCTTATTTTTCTGTTTCTTCTTCTTCTTTCGGAGTTTGCCACTTGCATTAGACTAACAAAAAAAGCAAATTTTAATCAGCGGAAAAATTAAGTCAAATCTTAAAAACCGAAAACTAAAGCAGCAAACATGACTCAGCCCTTATCTAAGCCATCCCCATCCCCTCCCTCTCTGTCCTAAGTGTCCCTTCAATTCGTTTCCCCCTCTCCAAGAAGCACCTTTCCACCTGTCTCCCCAGCTCTTTCTCTCAAGCCCCTCTGGATGTACTTCAGGGCTTCCTGTGACCTTCAAATTTCATCCAACCTCACAAGAGCTCACAGGGCTCTAACCCACACCTGCTCACCTACCTTTCCTGCTTTCATTTCTTGCTTTGTCAATCACTCCCTGCCATGTCCAAACCACCTGAGATTAGGGCCTTGCTGTACCCAGGTCATCTCACATTGAAACCTACATCTGTGTTCTCCCCACATTGTGGTTCCCCTCACCACCTGTGCCTGTATTTGTGGTGTCCTTGCTTCTGGTCAACTCCTACCATGACAGTATGAAGGCTCCTCAGAGAAGCCCCCTGACCCTGAGCCTTGTCAGATACCTGCTCTGCACTTTGAGTCAGGACTCTACTCACCACTTCATATCTATGTTGCCCTCTCAACCAGGGACTTCTAGGGGCAAAGGCTCATCCCCAGCACCCAGAAGGTTCCCAATGAACACTTATTTAACATTTGAACAAAAGCTCTCTTTCAGGAACCCTCTGGGATCACCCAATTCTTCAGGGACCCTCTGCTGTGAGGTGACACACAGCAGCAGGCATCTCTACCTACCCAACACTAACCTGACCTGCACATTCCCTCTAAGCATACTTACTCAACTTACACCAGTAACCAGATCCACAGCCCACCTGAGAGGAGCACACCTGATGCTGAAAACATACCACTAAGTGGGCGCAGATTCTCCTAAACACAGGAGGCAGGTTTGGGACCCTGTATGCGGTACCCATGACACCATCACTGTATTAAAGATTTCACACAAATCTGATCATGGCTCCCAAAGAAATTTTTGGGCAGCTGGGCAATTAACAAAATCAAACTAAGAAAATCACACCTGCTGGGCTCAGTGGCTCAACCTGTAATCCCGCGCCTTGGGAGGCTGAGGTGAGTGGATTGCCTGAGCCCGCGGGTTCGGGACCGCCTGGGCAACTTGGTGAGACCGCATCTCTACAATAAGTCAAAAATTAGCCAGGCGTGGTAGTGCGCGCTTGTAATTCCAGCTACTTGGAAGGCTAAGGCGGAAGGATCTCCGGAGCCCTAGCAGGTTGAGGCTGTGGTGGCCGGAAGCGGCCACTGCACTCCACTCTGGGCGACAGAGTGAGACTCCAACTCAAAAAAATAAAAAAGAAAAATAAAAGAAAATCACACCTGCAAGAAAATGACAGCACAGGAAGCATATGGCTGGTTGCCCTGGGACCCTCCCATCTGACACCCCCACCTCACCACTTGGCCCCTCAAACCTGTTCTGGGGGCGCTGCTCTGGCCACATCTCCATCTGTCTTGGTCTCTGTGTTTCCACGCCGAGCCCTTCCTTTGTTCCCTGGTGCCCCAGTGTCTGTGAGTACACAGCCAGACCTGTCCCCGTTCACCACAGGGTCATCCTCAAGATCTTCAATGTTTATCTGGAAAAACACATTGGAGAGGAGCAAGGGCGTCACTGACAATATAAACCTGATGCTGCGATATATGGATAGTGTACTGCCCCAGAGTGGGCAGGGGCATGTTCAGGTCAGTGTGAGATGATGAATGGGAAGGAACAGAAGAAACTGTGGGTCTGTTACACACAGCAGCAAACACACAGTTCAGTCAGTGGACTCTAAAGAAAGCTGAGGCCCGAGATCTGTTATTCAGAGATAACATAATGAAGAATTCCCTAACATTACAATTATCCCCTTTTATGAAATATCACCTGAAAACCAAAACTCAGAATACATATATTCAGCCAAAGCCTTAAAGGTCTTTCTTCTCACTACGTACCTCCTCAAGCCTCAGCTCTGCCTAATTTTTTTTCCAGAAGCAGTCAGAAAGAGGGGCATCAAGGACCCATCTACCTACAAACTTTTTCTAATCATAAAAATAATATAATAAAAATAGTAACTCATATGATGGAAACTTTGATACCAGTGAAAATGAATGAAGCACAGTTGCACACACAATATGGATAAATCTTAGGAGCACAATGTTGGCTTTTTTTTTTTTTTTTGCGTTGGAGTCTCGCTCTGTTGCCCAGGCTAGAGTGCAGTGGCACACGCACGGTCACTGCAAGCTTTACCTGCTGGGTTCAGGGATCCTTTTACCTCAGCTTTCCAAGAAGCTCAAACTACAGGCGTGCACCATGCCTGGCTAATTTTATTTACTTATTTTTTTAGAAAGTTTTACTGAGAAAACAGAAAAGCTCCTACAGAAGGAGGGGACTCAAGGGGGCTGCCTAATTTTTTTTTTTTTTTTTTTTTTTTTTAGTTGGAGTCTCACTCTGTCACTCAGACTGGAGTGCAGTGGCCACTCCCGGCCACCGCAGCCTCGACCTGCGGGGCTCCAGCAATCCTTCCGCCTCAGTCTTCCGAGTAGCTGGAATTATAGGCGTGCGCTACCACGCCCGGCTAATTTTTTGATTTATTGTAGAGATGAGGTCTCGCCTGCCCAGGCAGGTCTCGAACCCGCGGGCTCAGGCAATCCACTCACCTCAGCCTCCCAAAGGCGTGGGATTACAGGCTGAGCCACCAAGCCCGGCTAATTTTTTAATTAATTATAGAAACAAGGTCTCGCCAAGCTGCCTAGGTTGGTCTCGAATCCCTGGACTCAGGCAAATCTCTCACCTTGGCCTCCCAAAGTGCTGGGATTATAGGCATGAGCCCTCACACAGTTTTTTGGGTTTTTTTAAGGGGAAAAAAAAAAAGAGTAGTCAGGCAGAGAGTCATACTGGTAATTCCAACAGTCTGTCAGGAGGTAGAGGCAGGATGATGACTACTTGAGGCTAGGGGTTTGAGACCAGCCTGGACAACATAGCAAGACCCCATTTCTATAAAAAATGAAAATTAATCTGTAGTTCCAGCTAATCAGGAGGCTTAGGCAGAAGGATTACTTGAGCTTAGAAGTTCAAGGCCAGCCTGGGCAACCTAATGAGACCCCCATCTCTAAAAAACATATATACACACACGTATATAGTAACAAGAAGACAACTCCATAAAAAGAGGGGCAAAAATTGTGGACAGAAACCTTACAAAACATAAACAAATGGCTAACAGACACATAAAAAAAATCTTCAACATCTTCAGGGAAATGCAAATTAAAATCAACTGAGATGCTACTGAACATCCACAGAATTACTGAATGTAAAAAAACTTAACACACCCACTACTGGCAGGGTACGGAGCAAGTGGAATGCTCATACTCTCATGATTGGGGTGTAAAATGCTACAATCATCTTGGAGAACTACTTGGCAATCTCTAATCAAGTTAAAATATACCAGGCCAGACGTGGTGGTTCATGCCTGTAATCCCAGCACTTTGAGAGGACTGCCTAAACCCACAGGTTCAAGACCAGCCTGGGCAACATGGCAAGACTTCATCTCTACAATAAATCTAAAAATTAGTTGGGCATTGTGGTGCATGCCTGTAGTTCCAGCTACTTGGAAGGCTGAGGTAGAAGGATCACCTGAGCTCAGCAGGTCAAGGCTCTGATGGCCATGAGCAGCGTGCCACTGCATTTCCAGCCTGGGCAACAGAGTAAGACTCCAACTCAAAAAAAAAAAAAATTACCTGGGCATGGTGGTGCTTTCCTATACATACATCTACCCTATGATCCAGCAATCCTACCCCTAGGAATTCAACCAAACACAATGAAAACACATGTCCAGCCAGGCTTGGTGGCTCAGTCTATAATCCCAGCACTTTGGGAGGCTGAGGCGAGTGGAATGCCTGAGCCCACGGGTTCAAGACCAGCCCAGGCAACTTGGCAAGACCTCGTCTCTACAATAAATCAAAAATTAGCCAGGCACGGTAGCATGCGCCTATAGTTCCAGCTAGCTGTAAGGCTGAGGCAGAAGGATCACCAGAGCCCAGTACGTCAACACTGGGTGGCCGTGAGTGTGCCACTACACTCCAGCCTGGGCGACAGAGTGAGACTCTGACTTAAAAAAAAAAAAAAGAAAAGAAAACATATGTCCACAAAAAACTTGTACAAAAATGTTCACACAACTTTATTCATAACTGCCCCCCAAAGTGGAAACAACCCAAATATCTATCTAAAAGTGAATGTATAAATTTTGGATTTGGTGTGATGACTCATGCCTGTAATCCCAGCACTTTGGGAGGGTGAGGTAGGAGGATCACTTGAGGCCGGGAGTTCAAGACCAGCCTGGGCAACACAGCAAGATTTGTGTCTACAAAGAATAAAAATTTTTTAAAGTTAGCTGGGTGTGATGGTAGCAAACACAGTCCCAGCTACTCTGGAGGCTGAGATGGGAGGATCGCTTGAGCCCACAAGTTCGAGGCTGCAATGAGCTATGATCGCACCACCACACTCTAGCCTGGGTGACAGAGTGAAATCCTATCACTAAAAAACAAAAAAGAAAGATGCCAGGGATGGTAGCTCACGCCTGTAATCCCAGCACTTTGGGAAGTGGAGGCGAGAGGATTGCGGGAGACCAGCCTGGGCTACATGGCCAGATTTTCTCTACAGTAAATTAAAAAAATCAGCCAGGTGTGGTGGCATGTGCCTGTGATTCCAGCTACTTAGAAGGTTGAGGCAAAGAATTCACCTGGGCCCAGCAGGTCAAGCCTACAGTAGCTGTGAGCATGACACTGCACTCCAGCCTGGGCAACGGAGACTCTGACTCAAAAAAAAAAAGAGAGAAAAAAATAAAGAGAAATTTTAATATATCTATATACTGTAATGCTATTCAGTAATAAAAAGGAAGGAATCATGAATGCCCACATGAATTAAGTCTCAAAAGCATATGCCAAGCAAAAGAGGCCAGACACAAATGAGTACATTCCATATGATTCCATTTAGAGAAAATGCTATTAGTCAGGCATGGTAGCACACGCCTGTATTTCCGGCTACTTGGAAGGCTGAGGCAGAAGGATCGCTGTAGTCCAGCAGGTCAACGCTGGGGTGACCATGAGTATGGCACTACACACTCACTCTGGTGACAGAGTGAGACTCCAACTCAAAAAAAAAAGAAAATTCTAGAACAGACACAGCCAAGATGCAGTGATAGAAAGCAGATCAGTGGTTGCTTAGGGTTGAGATGCAGTGTTGGAAACACTGATGGAAATCTTTTACAGCTTGGTGGTGGTTACAACAGTAATCAAAACTCAAACTGTATTTGTAGGAATTATTTTTTAATAAAATCCAATAAAATTTAAAAACTCAAACTATATGCTTGAAATGGGTATATTATATATAAATTATATTTCAATACAATTAATTTTTCAAAATCACCCTGAATGAAATAGAAAAGAATGATTTCTAACCTTTTTTTTTTTCCTGAGTCGGAGTCTTACTCTGTCACCCAGACTGGAGTGCACTGGCCGCTGCGGTGATTCTTCCATCTCAGCCTTCCAAGTAGCTGGAACTACAGGCATGTGCTACCACGCCCGGCTAATTTTTTTTTTTTTTTTTTTTTTTAAATTGTAGAGATGAGGTCTCACCAAATTGCCCAGCCAGGTCTCGAACCCGCGGGCTCAGGTAATCTACTCACCTCAGCCTCCCAAGGCACGGGATTACAGGCTGAGCCACCGAGCCTGACAGTTTCTAATTTAAAGCCAAAGAAACTCACCCAAGATCCAGCAATGGGAAGGACAATCACCACTACAAACAAACAAAGGGCACAAGGTCCCAGTCTGTGTTCTGCTTCCTTCTTCCTAGGAAAGCACTGCTAGCTCCTAGAAATGTTTCTAAGTAAACCATTTCAGGTTGCATATTTCTAGTTATTTACTTCCTTTCACTCAGTTTTCAATATCATATAATATCCACACTTGTTGAGTCCTGACCAAGTGCCCAGTATGCTCCAAAAGCTACACACATTAGTTCATTTAATCCTAATGACCATCCCATGAGGCAAGTAAGAACATCCCCAAGAATCACGGAAACCAAAGTTTACATTAAGTATCTTGTCCAAGTTCTCACAGCTATGAAGAAGTGAAGCCAGGATTCAAACTTAGGTCTTTCTGATTCCAAAGCCCACATTTGGGCCATGGATAGTAACTATGTGTCTTATCAAAAGCCACACTGACTCATGGAGTAACTGTGTGCATAATACCTACTGGGCGCCAGACACTGCTCTAAGTGGTGGGGACATACCAGTGAACAATAAAGTTCCTGTTTTTATGAAGTTTATACTCCCGCAAGAAAAAAGTGATGCAAAATCAAGAGAATAAATAATGTATGCAGTATGTTTTATGCTTGCTAATTGCCAGGGAAAAAGGAAAAGACCAGAATAAAGGGGATGGGAGAGTGGGGGTTACCGCAGTTTTGAACCAGGAAGTTAAGGTAGGTAGGACTGTGAAGCAACATCTAAGCAAAGCCTAAGGGAAGTGAGGGAGGGAGACACAAGTTGGCATGTGAACAAACAGCATCCAGGTGGGGGGGGGGGTCAGCAAAGGAAGACCAGTGTGGCTGGAGCAGAGCGAGCAAGATTAGAAAGGCATGACATGGAAAGGATAACAGGGCAGACTGGGTGAGCTTGGGGTTAATGGTGATCACGGGAAAAGGAGGGCTGAGATCAGTACGTGTTCTATGACAGACTGTACAGGAACGAGGGTAGAGGCAAAGAGGTGGAGGGCTGGTCACACTCCCTGTGCACCTGGAGCCACCACAGGACTTCCCAACTGTGTGCAAGACTAGGAATGCCTTCCAGAGGTTTTCTTTGGCAACAGCAGGAATGCAAAGGCCCTCAACAGAGACAAGGAAGACTGAAGGAGCAGGTAGGGGCCAGAGGCAGCAAGATCAGTTAACATTTGGACACACAGGGGAGAGAGATACTGAGTTGGATGTATGAATCCAGAGGGAGGCTGCGTTGGTGATATTAATATTCTATCAGAAAGCAGAAAGGCACACACAAGCAGCAGAGTCTTGAGAAGGAAAGGTCCTTGGTTCCCTTTGACCAGACAGATTTTACGGGGTCCAAATAAGCTTCATTTTCTCCATTCAAATACATAATTATCTGTCATTTTCTTCTTTTCTCCCAAATACCCTGCCTCCTTTCCTCATGTCCACTTATCCACCTTTTTCTACAGCAGGAACATTAACTTTGCTTCTGACACAAACACTATGGTGTGGATGAGAGCACAGATTTTAAGTCTGAAAACGAGGATTTAAACTGCAACGTGACCTACAACCTCTGTGCTACAGGGTCCTCATCTGTACAATGGGGACACTATCACTTCTTTCCCAGACTGGAAGGATTACATTAGATAACGGTGATGCCTGGTACATGTAAATGCCCCCCAAATAACAATTATTCTTGTTAAAGACAAAATCTGGAGGATATAGGAATAAGGAGAAAGCACTAAGTGATAACAGGTCCATGAAAGTAGCCAACTTCAGCACAAACAGATCCCAGGTTGCTAACAACTGGGATGGGAATGAAGACTGAAGTGCCTTGTGAGAAGTCAGAAAAATGACCAGCAAATGTAATGATAAATGATGGAATGTCTGAGATCTGCTCTGAAATTATCCAGTGGGGAGAAGGAGTGAGAGCACTGGGGAAACATGGAGTGGCAGTGTGTCAATCATTGGGGAATCAGGTAATGGGCACTCATTCTAGCCTATTTTTTTGTGTTTGAAATTTTCCATAATAAAAAAGTAAAAAATAGAGACTACAAGAAATGAGGTAGGATGAAGCAGTTACTTTCAGACTGAGAATCAAAAAAGGTAGATGGAGAGCACACAAAATTTGAAGAACAGGCAGTACCACCTCCTCCAGAGGCTACGAAGTGAGACCATCTCTTACCTTAAGTGGAAAGGCCAGTGATCTCTAAAACAAACCCCAAAGTTGTCTTAGGACAATCCCTACTTCCCCACTGTCTCAGTAGGAACCCCTTTACTTGCCAACGTTATACAAAGTTGGGGACAACTACAATCAAGCAAAAACTTACAAAGAAATGCTGGCTTCTCCATGATTCTCAGACCTACCCAGCAAATAGCCACTGAAGTCCTACTATGTGCTGGGCATGCTGTGCTGGATGCCAGGATACAAGGTGACCGAAACAGACACGTCACCTGCCCGCATAAGAAGGTCGGGGAAGCCAGAATCAGATAACCCACACACAGATAAAGCTGCAGAACGAGGTCGATGCTAAGGAGAAAATGCCAAGGAGCCCCATGGGAAAACCCCATCTACTGAGGCATATCCCTAGGCAGACACCTGCTGTGGAGGATGCAGCCATGGGCAAGACACGGCATCGTGAACTAGGCAAGGGCACCGGAAGGATCACACGAGAACGCCTGCAGAGCCCCGCAAGCGCCTGCCGCAGGAGACTCGACCCCCTCCCGCCCCAGAGGGAAGCCCC